TTTATAGCTTGTCATACTCCAGGGCATTAGTGGAATAACAAGAGCAGCTAGACTACAGATGTGTTATTAACCACCTGAAACTATTCTATGAGAATTCAGTAAGCTGAAGGCAGGACAGAGCAGGCGGTCCCTCCCCCAGGACCCTGTAAAGCTGCAGCTCTGGCACACACAGATGCCTCCTCTTCTCCGCAGCACAGGAGCACCAGCACCTTCCTCAGGATGGCACTGGCTTGAAAAATCAATCTTGACCGACTTGAGACTGGGTGACAGACTGGGGACATGCAGTGCCTGGTTCCTGGTGCCCAGGGCTCCCTTGCTCTGGGCCACATGCAGCAGGAGTCCAGGGCAGGGGCACTTCACTTGTGTCTTGTCAAACATGGTAGGAGACAGCTCCTACCCACAGCTTTAGAGACCAGAGGAGAAGGAACATGAGCCAGCACTGAAATAATACCCACTTCGGGCCCCTGAGATTGCCCAGAGCTGAGCCAGGCTGACCTTTTCCACAATTCGCTGGGCTGTCACTGCAGAAATTCAGTTTGCGATTGGCTTTAAAAACACCACAGACGAGACAGAGGACCACGCAGAGGAGATCCAGGCAGGTTACCAGCTCCCCCTTCCCAGCTCACCTTCACACAGCAAACTCAACAGCATCTTGGTTGTTAGCAAATAGCAAATAGCAGCCACTATTTGTCCAGACCCTCTGACCATGCACTAAATGATCTCAGTGATGGGCTCTTCCTGCAACTGGAAGGTCTTTCACAGGTATCTACACCCCGGTATAACACTGCAGCAACGGCTGGTGCCATTCTCCGCGACATGTATATGGCCATAACACAAAATGGACAGTAAAACAATGGTATATATTGTAAAACAATGTTTTTCTCAATATGCTTGTAGGGGTAAACCCCTGGATGAGCTCCCAACTGCAGCCTTCCTGCTAGGGCCAGGGTCCTGTTTTTAAACCAGAAATCCCTGTCACCAGCTAGATCCTTTCCCCAGAGCTCCACCAAGCTCTTGGGCAGCACTCTTTTTCTCAGTGGCAGGAAATAAACCCAAGGGTGTGAGAGGTCAGAGACTAAAAGACCTTGCTGGGAAGAAGAGTAGAGAAATGGGAAAATGTGGGGAAAGCTAGAGTCGGTAACTCTGCAGTGCTTCAGGTTAGGGAGGACCTAGACATGAAGCCAACAGGGCAAGGCTGGAAGTTAGATCAATTACCTGGGGCTGCAAGACAAATCTTCAGTATCTCCAAAGATGGAGATGTCACAATGCTTCTAGGGAAGAATCCTACCACTTCAGCCAGGCTCTGCTCTCAGGATCACCCTGCACGGCAGCTCTCCCCTCATCACGGAGGACTGGGACTGTGTACATGGATGATAAGAGGGAACACAGCTGTCCAAGCATCTCATCTCAGCGAGAAAGCTGAGCTGCTCCGGGTAACTCCATCATTACCTCAGTTACCCTCTGACAGATGCAGTTGCTTCCACCAAAGCCACAGGAGCCAGTGGTTAACTGTTGGAGATGTCTCAGCCAGAGATGCCCATTGCCCTGCAGCTGGTCACCCCAAGCAGCCCCAGCTGCCTCTTAGCCTGCCCATTCCCACAGATGACATCAGCTCACGCTCCACCAAAGACTAGGGCCATTTTAGCCATCCTGCCCTGAGCCACTCATCAACCAACCATCTCCTGCCCAGCAATAAAGCACCAGAAACGAGTCAGTTTTTCTTGCTATTTCTAGTTCTGCCCAGTAAATGTGACCTCCTGCTGATCTCCCTTAGAGACAAGTGAGCAAGGTTGGGAAAAGCAGGATCGATTCCACCCAAATGTCAGTGGCCAGAAAGGATCTAGGATGGCTCATTTCAAATCCCAGCTTGATGCTGAAGACTGGTTCACCAGCACTCCTGACCGAGGCCAAGCCAGCAGATCAAAGTCCTTTCACCAGCACGCTCACACCCATTTCAAACAGACACCCTAAGGAGTGACTCAGCCACCAACATGGAAATGTATCACACTGCCTCTGCTCCTGTCCACACTAGTCGTTGAAATAAGCCACAAAGCTCAATTCAGAGATAACTCTAGGATTTACAAAAAACTTCCTCCAGCAGATGGGACTTCACACCCACCCATCTGAGTGTGGAAGGCTCTGCTGCAGGCAAGGGCTGCCAGAAATGGCTTCCCTGCTCACCTTATACTCCTTCTACTCACCACAATGCTCCTGGTCCTACATCCCTTTCAGTACAAAACCCCTCAGTAGGTCTGGGAATACAGCAGTTTCAAAGGAAATTGGTGAAGGACTTCGTTTACAACTGGAAATGATTTCTGGACTCCTTCAACATTAAAGAAAAAGGCATGAAGCATTAAGAATAACTCACAGCATTAGCTCCACATCAGTGAAGCCCTAGTGACTCAGTGGCTCTTAGTAGTGGTGGTCCAACAGACCACACAGGCTGAAGACAGAACTGGAGTTATAAAAGTGGACCAACATCTGGTAGCTCACAGTGCTTGGTGATGACTAGCCCTGCCGAGGGCTGGGAAGATCAAGGAATATTTCCAATGATCTTGAAGTTGTAAAGCTTTCATTGCCTGCTCCTCACTCACACACTGAGTGTCCATCTGCTCAGTGAGCTCCAACCCTTGGTACCCACAGACTCTCCACTCCCCTGGGGGAAAGAATTTTCCCTGTCCACCTGAAACCTCCACCTACCTCCCCACAGCAGAAGAGAGCAGAGCCTGGCACTGCGTGTCTGCTACTGGTCTAACTCCTGCTGTCTGGGGGAAGAGCTTGGCCCTGCCTGCACATCTCCATGAGAACTAGAACAGATTAGTTGTAATACTGGCTTTTAGTGGAAAACCAAGGCTCAAAGAGCCTTGGAGAACAGCTGCTAGGCCACCAACATGCCAGATGCAGAACTGAAAGTTATAGAATAGGAGGGAAGCAGACAGTTCCTACCTCCTGTAGGGGAGCAGCTCCCCCAGCAGTCGTGTGAACCACGGGTGGTCACAGGAACTGGGATTTTGTGCGATGTAAAAGCACGGGAGCCCTTTCCTGACGGCACCCGCAGTCCCGCTGTGCAGGTCTGTTGTGACACCTGGTGGCCAGAGGCACCACTACAGCACCTGCCACCAGCCCACCCCATTTCTTCTTAAACCTAGATGAATGATCTCCTTTCCATTGACCTTAGGTGACAGCAGGAACAAGGCAAGGAAATGGGGTCAGGACACTCAGCTTAGGACATACGGAGCATTTCTAAGCACCCCCGTGGTCTCACCAGCAGGTCGCAGTTCTCCTTCCTGTGCCGCAACCTGTTGTACAGCTTTGTGACCCTACCCCACCTCTGTTTGGAGCACTGAGTGCAGCCTGGGAGGAGCAAGAGTTGTGGAGCTGCAACATAAACACGTTAAGAAGAAACTCATTACAAAAGCCTACCAGACCTTTCTGATGTATGAGGGCCGGGCCGGGGTTTCATCATTGCAATCACATTTACATTCCAAACTAGCTCCCACCTTGCTGAAGACCCAAACCTCCATGACCAAAGAGGTGCTGGTTACCACTGCTGGGAGCCAGGCTTCACACCTATACGTTTATTATATATACACATCTGGAGGGACAAGGGAGCTCTTCTCACTGCACAGTTTTGTCGAATGATTGTCCATGCTGCTCGGTCAGGCTGCCACATCATTCCTCCCATGGACTCATATCTGTGTCAATGGCCACGCAGTTATAGGCAGCATAGCGCAACTTCTCTTCACATACCTTGGCTCTAGGGTTGGCAGGATGGGGGCGGGGAGGGAAAAAAAGACAAGGAGGAGTTGCCATTGCTGCATTTGCCAGCTGAAAGGACAAGATGCTTCTGGAGATGGAGGCTATGCCTCACCAGATGCTCTCAAAGAGAATCACAGCAGCCACACGGTACAGGTAGGGGGACGTAAGTGTGTCAAAGCAACAGGGCCCTACGGGTCAGCACCAAGGTTAAGTAAAGAGCCCAGACACACAGTCCACGAGATGCAGGGAAGCACCAAAACTTACGTGGCATAGTTGGGCAAGAAGAGGGTGCTGGAGCAGGTGGAGGACTCCGGCAAAGCATCTGTTGTCTCAGAGCTTGGAGAGAAGGCGACAAACTGGTCAGAACCAGCAGGCCAGTGGGGCAGGGAAGACCAGACCACACATACCTTTGGTGTGGGATCTGTCAGCCTTGCAGCCTACAGAAGAATGGACTTACCCCATCTTGTCTGGATAGATGTAGATCCGTGCCGGAAGGCGGCTTCTGCCAGTGACAAATCTGAGGAAGCGGCTGCGATCCTCTGTGAAGGAAAAGCAGACATCATCAGACCCTAGAGGGATGTGAGACGGAGTACAGCCACTTTCAGGTATCCTCAGCACTAGCAAGCAGTTCCTTCAGCCTAGCTGCTTGCTCTCCTTGGCTCTCATCTGTTCCCCAGGCAGCAACAAGGGTGGTTTCACCCTCCCAGTCCCCAGCCAGCATACAGCGGCTGTCATGGCACAAGATATGCAAGGACAGAGCAAATCACTCACCATTGGTGAAGTTGTTGAGCGCTTCCCAGAAGTACTGAACACGGGTGTCCAATGGCTCAAAGTCCTCAAACCGGGCTGGCAGAAAGGATACAGAAAAGGAGCTTATCAAAGATCCAAGCTCCTCCTGGATAAATTAAAGCAGTACCTCCCCTGCTCCCTCAGGGGACCTCTGCCAGTGCAGGAAGAAACCTCTAGCTGCTGCAGTGTGAGCACGTAGACCCAAGGTGCAAGGGACATGTGCAGTCAGGTCCCTCCCAGAAAGCATATCCGGATCCACATCTCAGCTCCACAGAGGCTCAGATACTGGCAGTCTATGGATGCCCCAGCCTCTACTCTGAGGCACAGCATCGAGACAAGAAACACTCCTGCCCCCATCAGCAACCAGCTGAAAGCAAGAAGTACACAGGCCCACAAAGGCTAATATTGGACTCCCACACCGCTCCCTGTCCAGGCACGGAGAGAAGACAGTCTTGTTTTCAGGGAGAGAGTTTTCAGTGTAGCCCTTCACTTACTGAGCTTCTTCAGGGCATCAACAGTGACTTCAGGGTCTCCACAGACTTTTTTTTCCAGCTCCTGCCAGGTGAAGAGGTCAAGAACAGCTTGGGGCACCACCTTGAGCAGCCCAGCCTGCATGGCCATTATCTGAAAAGGAGACAGAGCAGGTAAGCAGCACATCTTACTCGTTTCCCTGGCTCGTGGTTGAGCCTAAGGCCTCAACTGGACATAAGCCACATGGCAACTGCTCCAAGGAACTCAAAGAAGGGAACAGGATCCCACCAAGATTCATCCCAGTTCACTAAGAAAGCATGTGTCAGAGCTGGGAATAAAACCCTGTCTCCCATGCTGCTATAAGCCACTTAGCTTCTCAACAGCTCCGTGGGCTCTAGGACCTCAAGAAAAGGACTACCTGCTACTGCACTAATGAGCACAGGGACACAAATCACGATGCATTTTACCAGAAAGACTGAGGAGGTATGTCTCTAGGAACTCAAGGACCCCTGATGCCATAGGACAGTGTTACCTGCTCCTTGCTCTCCTCCAGTCGAGC